TTTTTTGATTTCTATCGAATATTATCACACTCCAGTGAGCACAGAGTACAGAGTACAGTATGCCTAGAGCGATTTTTCAATACTTTTCTTACATTCGATGACAAGAAATGCTTGAACTTTATCTGTTTTTCTCGACGCAAACATCGAAGTGAACCCTAACTTATTACGGATGGATTTGGTGAATGCACTTTACTGCACGAAATCGGCCATACCTGACTGCCCACAATTTGCATTGTGTATTCAGTCCAATTGTACAAATCAGATTTGTCGAAAAGGTCACGCATTATAACGTTCCCAATGAGATCATGTCGTGTGAAGCGATCAAAATCGTACACGGTAAACTGAAACACACACTCTTTCGCATGCTATTCATCGAATTATGAACAATTCTTGGGCATAACTAGGCTAAGTAACTAGCACGGAAAAAGCTGACATTTCAAGGAGATCGCCACACTGGAGGTATACTGTTACAATGTAGATTGATTCCTATGACAATGAAAATTCTGAAATTTTCAATTATGTTTCGTTTCTTTCGTGTTTTCATGAAAAATAAAAATTTAAACGATTTACACAATTTAATAGTCTCCAATGCAGTGAAAATGCATTGCGTTTTTGCTTGCTCGGAGAAATAGATGAACTGATGGAGAACTATAGTGCTGTACTCCTCGATTTGCAGTTTACAGTGCTGTACTCCTCGATCCTATTCAAGTTAATCCAATTACAATGTCCTTAAAGCTGACAATCATCCTAATACTATCAATGTTAGGAAGACTGTAACTGGATCGTCTTGAATAGGATATTAATGAGAAATTGACATGCGAACAGAGGAGGAGTGTAGTAATCGAGGAGGGAAGTTGTCTAGCTTCGTAAACCAACCTGAAGCATCCTGGTAGGGAGATTATTGAAGGCCACATCAAATGAAAACATTTCGTTGAATTCGGGATCCACTGACTTTTTGCATATTCGCGTCTTGCAGTGATTCCTCCTCTCGGGCAACAGATACATTTTCACATAAGGTTCCACTACACGACTGCCCTGAAAGCAGCAATAATATTGATGCTTCTAACTCCACCAGAATGCTCCTATGAAAGATTGTTTTGTGAGGAGTCAAATGATGCTCTATATAATGTCACATCTACATTCAGATGCTCAAAAATTTTCTATTTGAACACGAAAACATGCCATGCAATAGCAACTATAACAGTTCTTGCTGGGGCTCAACCCGGGCAATATCTGAATCGAGTCAACAGAAATTGTGTACTATCGCTAAAATCGATCAGTTTGACGATCAATACCTTCTCTGTCTGGATTACTTGCACGATGGTTCCGACTGATGTTCAGAAATGCAAAAAGTGCAAAAAAATGGGCGAATTCAGCCAAGTTTTCCGAGTAAATTTAGCTAATTTCTGCGTTCCCTTCATCGCTAACGAGAATTATCAGTCTGCGCTGAGTGAATACGCTCTGGCTGTGCTGTGTGAGCAAATGCCGTTTGCTAATAGCGAACTAATTCTCAAAATCCTAATGGATCGATGAGTCGTCGAGTGTATGAGCTGCTGAGAGTACATCAGAAGATTTCGAGTGCCGACATCAAAAATCAATGATGAAATTTGCGTTTTTAACTAATGATGAGAAGTGATTCCACGAATCGCTCGTGCTACAACATAAAAATGAACGCAACAACATTTTCATTTGCATAGTTCAAATGTTGACGCGCAACTATTTGGAAGGCATTCGAGAGAATTTCCTTGAGCCCTGAGCAGGATGAAAATTTTTAGTTGTGTTAATGATGGCGAAATTAAATGAATTATTTAGATTTTTATTGCACGCAACTGAATACATTGCTAAACGCCAAAAATGTCGGTAAACAAAGGTGAATGAAGAGAGAAAAAATGGCATTGAAGACCACCACTGAAACAGACTGGCTGGTATTTTTATGAAGGCTGAATTGTTTGGCGAGAAAAATGGATCAATCACCTCAGACGGTAGATGATTAGCACGAATCACGTGAACCATCAGCACTCGATGTATGAAGTCGTACCGCAACGAAAAGGTCAACGTCCCTCGAAAACATCTTGTTGAGGATTTCTCGCAAAAACCCGATTCATAATGTTCCACAGATCGATTGTCGATTTCCTGCAGCAGCAGCAACAACAACAATATGTGACTCTA